AGAGATTGAAAACTTGGATTTCACATCAAGCTACATCCCTGCCTATTTTTTCATTTTTATTTTGAGACTAAGTCTTCCAAAGCTGTTAAGTTTTTTAGGCTGAACTTGAACTCGAAATTCTCCTGCCTCAGTCTCCTAGAGTGCTGGAGTGACAGGTGTAGTCTCTCCCACCCCATTCACCCCAGGAGCAACAGAGAAAGGAGCACCAGGAAGAGACTGGCTGGGCACTGCCACCTGGCGTTATTTTATATGGGGGTGCGTTGGTTTTGAGAAAGTGTCACCAGAGGTGTTTGATTTGAGTGGATCTGCTTGGCAAGGACCAGTGACAGCAGAAGTATTCCTACTACTTTGCTTGTATCGTGCTGTAGGTACTCAGGGCATTTTGCTGATGCGAGATCTGCAGAGCTATGGGTGGACACAGGCAAGGTGGGGCCCACCCTTTTAATTACTGTTTAGATCATTTATGTTTAATGTATCTAAATACATTACGATTCAATTGAGTTATTGGCGATGTCTGGGGTCTCTTTTTCATTGACTTTCCCCTTTAACACTGTTCTTTTGGATCAACCTTTTTCCTCCAGACTGATTTTCATTTACTATTGTGTTTTCATTACAATATATGTATGTCTCAGTCTAAATGGAATATTTCACCCTTGAAATGGATGTAGAACCTAACATACAAGTCCCGTTCCCTCATGCCTTTGTTATCATTCTTAGTGTGCCAACACAATTTGAAATCCCCATCTTATATTTTCAACCATCATATGTATTATAAAGAAATCTCTTTAGTTTTCATTAGTTTCATACTTTCTTACCCTCATTTTCTTTGGCTTTAGGCTCACTGAACTTCTTGAATTTTCACATTCTGAAATATTTTTCCTAATTTTCTCCTCTTCTTCTAAGACCCTTTTGTATTATCACACAGTCCCGTAAGGGTCATATGGAAAATAATTTGGAATTCTTGTTTTTGTTTGTGTTTATTTTGCCTTTAGTACTGGAGATTGAAACTCATGGCACTGGGAGACTGATGGTGCCTCTCTCTCTCCCTCCTTCTCCTCCCCAGGAGTTCTGAACTGAGCTAAATCTATGGCCCTTTTTAATTTTTCATTTTGAGGCAGGCTCTCAGTTTCCCAGGGTGGCCTCCATTTGCCCTCTTTATGCCTCCGCCTTCTAAGTAGTTGGGATTATCTGCATGTGCCAGTCGGTTTGGGATATTCTGCACATTCTTAATATTATGACACTGTTGTCCTCACAATCCTGTGGAGAAAGTAGATGTTTGATCAGGTAATTGACAAAGTTTGGTCCAGTGTGAAAATTTTTAGGCTGGAAAGCAAAGGTCAGTGGTAAAGTGCTTACTTATCATCACCAGTATGGAAAAAAAGGATGCAAGGTTCAGTGAGTAGTTTGTGGGTTATGGTTTCAATGCGTGTTCTCTCTGTTCAGCCTCTTCAGTGCAACTTGTGTCTCTTATTAGAGCTGGAATAAATGGAGGGCAGTTGGTACGGCTTGTGTCTAGATGTATCAGCTGCCCCAAAATCCTCTCGCAGTCGTAGGTGGGGCTTCTTCGGAAGTGGCTGAATCTTGACACTGGGATTTATTCATGGTGAAATGCTAGACTCAAGAGGAGGATTAAGGGTGTAAGTGCCACCCACTCTGAGTAATCTTGAGGAGACAAAAGGGTCAGAAAGCAGCTGTGAAGGCCCTGTTTAGCTTTTGCCACCTTCTGCCTGCCGTGACCTGTTGCCTGTCTGCCACACCACCTGGCGTTGGAGCTAGCTGATTATAGACTAAAACATATACAAACTGTGAACTAAATAAATCTTCTCTCTTTTAACTTTGGGTGTCAGGTATTTTGTCACAGCAATGCGAAATGTAAGACAGAATTTGTTAGCAGCAGTGGAGTCATCATTATAACTGCACCTGAACATGTGGGACAGGAACCTTTGGGACTGCCTTGTGGGAAGTGTTTGGAAATTTTCAGAGTTGCTGGCTGAAAAAGTGGAGCTGTAACACCTTGGGGTATACTTGATGGAAGATTTTGGGCAGAGCTCAGAAAACCAGAAGGCTGATAGAAATCCTGCCAGTGAAGAGCAGGATGGGGAGATTTCTGCAGGGAAGAAGAACATTGGTTGTTGAACTCCAGACAATGTGTGTTATACCTTGGCAGAAAGTTCCTCTGCATTTTGCTCCTATCCATCGACTTTGCCTGATACTGAGAGTAAGGGTGGTGGACTGATTAATCTTGTAGAAGAAATTTCAAGGCAGTCTAACGTTCAGGTGTTGGCACAGCTGTTGGGAGCCTTTTATCCAGATTTATATTGAGAATCAAGAGCAAATATCCCAGCAGAATGAGTTAAAATATGAGTTTGTATAGAAAGGAAGCATCAGTATTTGTATGAACTGCAAAGATAGAGCAGGGGAGATCTTGATTGCTGAGAAGGAACAGGAGATTAGAAAAGATCGCGTGAGGGCATGTCAGGAAGCTGCAGCACCTCACCCTTTTGCAGGTTCAAAATTGCAAAAGTGAGACTTTGCTTTGAGAAGAAAGCCCCAGAGTACTGTGTTTCAGAATGGCAGCAGTTAGGGAATTTGTTCCTTGGAATCATATTCAGGGTGTTACAGCCAAGAGAGAAATAAACCTGCCTGCTGCTGCAACTGGCAGCAGACCTTGGCATCATCCACATGGTACTGGTTTTAGGTCCATGCATATGGCAAGAGTTGTGGGGTCAACAAGATTTCACTTCCATTCAGCTTTTAAGACCTGGGAGGCCAGGCTGAAGCTGTGAGTGTGAAGCCAAAGGTGCAGTGGAGACTCCAGAAGTTCAGAGAATATGGGTCATCTGAGGAAAAAGCAGAGCCCTCCCCCAAGGGAAGCCATGAGAGCTATATCCACTGGCAGTGCCACAGGGCGGAGCTACCCAGCCTCTTTGGAGTTCACAACTTGCCACAGATTGCCAGGGATGCTGGAAGGAGGACTGTGGGATTTAATGTTGGAGTTTGGTCTTGCTTTGCTCCCATTCCTGCTATCCTTGTTTGTAACTTTTGGAATGGAAATATCTATCTTGTGCTATTGAACACTGAAAGCTTAATTTTCATTTACACGTGGGCTCGCAGCTACGAGTTTACCTTAAATCTCAGAGGAGACTTTCAAGTTGGACTTTTCAATAATGCTGAAACTCTGGCACCTCTTAGAGATGGACTAGATGCATTTTGCATAAAGGAATGTGCATGAGTTTTTTGGGGGCCAGGGGCAGAGTGTTGTGGTTGTGGCCAGATTTATCCCAAAGCCTCATGCAGTCATTGGTGGGGCTTTTTCAGAGGTGCTCGGTTCAGTGTGTGATGCTGGGGTTGATTCGTGGTGCAGTGCTAGGCTCAAAAACACCAGGATCAAGAGTGTGAGCACCACCTGCTCTACGTAATCTGGATAAAAGGGGCAGAAAGATGTCGTTAAAGTCTCCAGTTGGTTTTTCTGCTTCTTGCCAGCCATGAACAGTTGCCTGTCTGCCATGCCACCTTGCTGTGGAATGCCAGCTGTGAGCCAAATAAACCTTTCCTCGTTTAATTTGGGTGTCTTGTATGTTGTCTCAGCAAAGAGAAAAGTAACTAAGCCAACAGCCTCAGGCTTGCTCTGGAGAGTACAGACACCACAGGACTGCCTCTGGGAGGCTGAGGACGTGTAAATGGAGGGAAATAAAAACACAATTTCCATTCTTCCAACAGCCCGAGCTGGTAGGTCCACCTTTCTTCTCTATCTACCTCTGGCTCTCTCAGCATTGAGACATTCTACATGTACCTTTGCCAGAAACATAAATCCTATAACAATTTTATGTCCACAGAACGAAAAATCAGTTCGGCATATATGGACACCATCCGGAATGGTATCAGTTAACTGTTGGTATTCGAAACTAGCACTACAAGGAATATGGCAGATAAGGTTATAGAACATTTTAAAGGCCTTGTTAAGCTTCTCACATAACATATAGTAAGTCCCTAATTTATAAATGAGTTCTGTTCCAGGTGAATGTTCGTAAATTAGATTTGTTCCTAAATCCAACAAAATGAGTCTTATATAGTACACTGTGCAAGTTTACAACTAGAATGTTTTTTAAGTTGAGGATTTACTAAAGGAATGGTTGGAAAAATTTGGCATGCCAAAATTAAGGCAAGCATGGTGGTATAGGCCTATCATTCCAGTACTCTGGGAGGCTGAGGCAGGAGGATCACAAGTTTGAGCCTGGGCAACCGGGCAACTTAATGATTTAACAGGGCTGGGGATGTAGCTCAGTGACACAAGTGCCTGCTTGGCGACGTAAGGTACTGAGTTTGATTTCCAGCCCCCCCCCCAAAAAAAAACCCAATTAAACAAGTGAAAAGGGGGAAGAGAGGCTGGGCATGCTGATCAGTGGTAAAATACCTGCCTACTAAGTGTGTGGCCTTGGGTTCAATCCCCTGCTCAGCAAATAAAAAAATCAACACATGAGCCTTTTTTTTTGAGACGGTCTTACTGTGCAGTTCAGGGTGCCCTTGAGTTCAGTAGATATCCAAGGCTGGCCTCAAACTTGCAAAGATCCTCCTGCCTCAGCCCTGTGAGTGCTGCGGTTACAGGCCACCACACCCAGCTAAGGTTATTTTCAACAAGACCAATTATTGGAAAAACTGGGAAAGTACACATTCAAGTATTTCTAGTAGAAGGAAAATAGCCAAAGTCAGTAAAAATATGTCTCGCTGTTGTTTGTCTTTTTGAGATAGGGTTTTGCTTTGCAGTTCAGAGTGTAGCCTAGGCTGGCCTGGAACTTTCAGTGATCCTCCTGCCTCAGCATCCCCAGTGCTGGGATCATGGTGTGTGCCAACATGCCCAGCTAAAATATGTCATGTACAATGAAAAAGAATAAAATTGCACAGGGCTTAAATCTAAAAGGTAGGTTTCAAAAATCACCTAAGGAATACTTTGTGGGAAACATAACAAATGATTGATTTCTATTTGTGTATGAATTCAATAGGTGGAGAACACAAAGGAGTTCTGGCACGGGAAGGAGTTTCTTAACCCTAAGACAAAGGGGATGTGCACAGCAGGACGCAGACACATGACAGAGAAACATGAGCAGGAAAACACAGCTCCCAGCACTTACTGTGATTTCTACCAAAAAGACAAACCAAGGCATCAAAAAGCATTCTGAAGGGCAAGTGTACAGATGTCCTGGGCCTTGCCCCAGTTTGATACAGGGCAGGAGAATACTGGCTTTGTTCTCAAGGTGAGAGGAACTGGTTGTGGATCTGGGCTTTGGATTCATTGGTTTCAATATGAAATATGTGCTCCCAAGCAAGCTGATAACTCACCAGGGAGGGGGAATGTGCCTCAGCCCACAAAATATCCACCCCGTAGTGTATCTTAACATACAGAAATGAACCTCCTCACTAATAAACTGGTCCTCTGATATTCACATATCACCCCTAAGAATGAAGAACATGGAAAATTACAATAATAGTGTGTTACATTGCTCTTATGAGTACAGGAAAAAATTCTGAATAGGAAAAAGAAATATAACAAAGTCTGAGTAGTCTGCCTAAGCCAGGCCATACCAAAGTTCTCCATTACATGGCACTGTTCAATAAGACGTGTGTGAAATTTTCAGACCTGAAAACCAATTTAAAATTATATTTCCATAATTAAGGTGAAAGTCTGGAGCTGTTTTTAGGGCATAAACTCTACTGAGATGAATATGAAAACATGGTTTTCTTTGAAACAAAGGCAAAGGAGATCACAATGGACAGCTCGGGGGGAGCAGGAGGCCTGGATGAAGCATGCAGTCCTTGGCTCTGAGTGTCGCTGCCCGACTGACTCACAGCCAGTGGCTCCTGAGGACCAACAATTTCTTTCATATCAACTTTTGAGATGGCACAGATCCCAGTAATCTGGCTTTTCTATAGGCCTGGAGTATACAGCTGAACGTGACGGCTGATGTTATACTGGAATTACGGGCTAGGTCAACAGCAAACTCAGGCACACAACCCATTCTCAAATGCCTAAGTACAAAACGTGAGTCTAGTGTAGTCTGGCCATGGGCATCGATACAGAGGAGGTTCTGATGATCTTATGAACTCACCTCCAGTGAAAATAGGAAGTCATATCCAGTGGTGAGGTCTTGGAGTTGGGGGGCATCTTCCCCAGCAGTAAGCCTCTCAGGCAGAATACGTGGGCTCTGAAACTGGGCTGTCGTTTGTTAATATCACATCCAAGCCCGAGGGTGAGGCCACTTGCAGTAGGGACTTTGCCCATGACCCACGTACTCATACTCGGGAAACTCTGAACAGGTTCCTGCGGTGGCCTTCATGCCTTATTTCAGACCACTGCGATGGCATGTAAGGCCAATCTGTGAGCTGTGACCACCCACACAGGGGACAGGTCTCATGGTCTTTGGGGTCACTGTCAATAATGAAACAGGCTGAAGAGCAACAGCACACCCCCAAAATGTCCCTACCCACTCCTCACCACAGACACACAAAGGTACAGAGGTCTCTTTCATTCCACATTTATTCTTTGCCTTGTTTTGGACTACATCACACTGGCTCGATTAAGAGCCACAAAAAGAGCCATCAAGTGGCTGCAGCCTGCTGGCCATCCACAAATAACCAAGGGTCGCTCAAGCATCAGGAGGACACACATTTGGACCACTGAGGCTGAAATCTGGTTGTGGTGTGCATGTCTGTACCCAAAGGCCACATTCAGAAGGTGCCATGATGAGCTCCAGCACCATGGGCTGTGGTGAACAGCTGTGTTCACGGGGGCATTTGTTTTTTCACTGTACGTGGAATGAATAATCCAGATTTTACTACCAGTTCCAGCCGGTGCTTGACTCAGGCATATAAAACCGCTCTGCCAAGTGGCACAGTGCACAGAGCACGCTGCCGGCTATGCCAGCTCCTGCCCTGCCAGATGGCACAGAATCTCCCATTCTCAAGTGCAAGTGCCCTCCTGCCATGGCCATGACACCAAGGCACCTGTACCGCCAGCATCCATCCATCCCAGGCTCCCTCATCCCCTCTCATCTGAAAGGGTCAGACAGGAAAGAGAAACAAGAAGCTTAACCAGCACTGAATTTATAGCTGGGACCATGTTCGAGAGCCTGACAAATGAACCAAGGAATCCACAAGGCTCCAGACAGTACTGTTTGGATCCCAAATGCCCACTGTTTGCTGCCAGGCCGCTACTCAGATGCTGTAGTAACTGGAATGAAATGAGGTTGCTCAGAAGGGAAAGAATGGCGAATTCCTCTGGAAATGATCAGGACAGAATCGCAAACATTCAAAATAAAGAAGGACGCGCTGGATGGCCACATTTTTGTCAGCCTACCAGATTTCAGAATACGGGGATTAGATTACCATAGTCCATATATTCAGTTTTCTCTTGGGCATGAATCAGGATTTTCACTAAATGCTGAGAATTAATGGCATGTAAAAATGACTTTCCCACGTTTCTTACCTTCATAAAGTCTTCTTCACTGTGAGATCACAAGTGAAGCTCAGCAGAACTATACCTTTCCCACATAATTCACAGCAGGCTCTCCCTTCGGTGTGAAGCCTCACATATTTAAGAATAACTTCCTGGGAAACAGACAAGACCTTCATATTTCCTTCTCTCAATTCATGGGGCATCTTGAGTATGAGTTCTCGAATGTCTTCAAATCAAATTGGAGTAACTGAGGGCTACCCCTCGCTCTCTACAAGAGCAAGGTTACTCAGCGGTGTACACGCCGCTGCACTGATGAAGATGTGAGGGTTTCTTACGTGGCTTTTGGCATTCGTCCCATCCCAAGTGTTCCTGCTCTGTGTGCGTCATTAGGTGGTCACTGAGCAGGCAGATGCTGCTGTAGGCTTCCCCACACTCCTCGCACTTATAGGGCTTCTCGCGAGTGTGAATTTTTACATGGTGAATTAGGTTTGAGGATGAAGTGAAGGTTTTCCCACATTCCCTGCATTCATAGGGTCTCTCCCCAGTATGACTTCTGATGTGCTCCGTTCGGCTGGAGGAGGTGGTGAAGGCTTTCCCACAGTACTTGCATTTATAGGGCTTTATGCCGGTGTGAATCCGAATGTGCTTCGTGAGGTATGAGAAATACTGGAAGGATTTCCCACATACGTGACAATCAAATGGCTTTTCCACTGTGTGAGTTTTTAAGTGTTCGTTGAGCAGATTACACCTATTATAGGCCTTCCCACACTCCTGACATTCATAGGGTTTCTCTCCAGTGTGGATGGTGAGGTGTTTACGCAGGTAGGAGACATTGAGGAAGGCTTTCCCACACTCCTTACATATATAGGGTCTTTCTCCGCTGTGAGTTCTTACGTGTCTCCGTAGGTATGAGGATGCATGGAAGACCTTCCCACACTCGCCGCAGATGTACGGGATCTCTGCACTGTGCGTCTTTCTCACGTGGTTATGGAGGTAGGAGGAAGTGAGGAAGGCCCTCCCGCACTCCTTACACGTGAAAGGTCTCTCTCCACTGTGGGTTCTCACATGTCTGTGCAGGTAGGAGGAAGAATGGAAGGCTTTCCCACACTCCCCGCACACGTAGGGCCTCTCTCCGCTGTGCGTTCGCCTCACGTGGTTGCGCAGGTAGGAGGAGGTGAGGAAGGCCCTGCCGCACTCCTTACACACGTAGGGCCTCTCTCCGCTGTGGGTTCTCACGTGCTGAGAAAGGCGTGGGGGTGAAGCGAAGGCTTTCCCACACTGTGTGCACTCGTAGGGCTTCTCGGAAGCGTGGGTGGGGAGGTGTGTGATGAGGCCCGAGCGCTTGGTGAAGGCTTTCCCGCAGTCCTTACACTGATAGGGCTTCTCTCCGGTGTGGGTTCTGAAGTGTTCCACCAGCCGCGAGTAGGTGGTGAAGGGCTTCCTGCATTCCTTACACTCATAGGGCTTCTCCCCAGTGTGGGTTCGCATGTGCCTGTTAAGGTTTGAAGAGCGCCCGAAGGCTTTCCCACAAGTCTTACACGCGTAGTGTTTCACGGCGTGCACTTGGACAGGCACAGTGTGCCCAGTGGAGTGAGGAAAATTTCCATATATTTGGGTTTTCAGGTGTGTCTTGAAATAGGAGTGTTCACTGAAGATTTCCCCACACTGCGCGGAGTCACAGAGCTCCCCTGCACTCTGGCTTCTTGCCTGTTCATGAAGGGATCAGTGATGGTTAGAAGATCTTACAGACTTGCTAACAGATTCTATCTATCTGGAAACAGAAACACTATTGTGACTCTGATTTCTGTCATTTTGATCATATGCGTGTATCGTCTGCTCTGTGGATTTTCTTCAAGTGGAATAAAGAACCCAACACTAAATACTCTGTGTTGCCATGCTAGGCCTCCTCTTGGAAGAACTGTCCATTTTTATGAAATTCTTTTAAGACTCTTGGGACCCACTTACAAATGTGCGAAGGTGTACTTGTGGGAACTCTGAACCTTAGTTTGTTTGCTTATTTATTTATTTTGTCTTCTTGAGACAGGGTCTTACTATGCAGTTCACACTAGCCTCGAGCTCACCTTGTAGCCCAGGCTGGTCTCGAATTTGCAGTGACCCTCCTGCCTCAGCCTCTTGAGTGGTGGGATTACAGGTGTGCACCACCACGCCTGGCTGAAACTCTAGTTTAGAGCTAGGATTAGTTTCACAATTCACCGTATTCAGAATATCCATCTAGAGACATTTCTCCTGTTAGAGTAAATGCCACTTCTCTCAAACACCTCCCCTTTTTGCTAATTTTCTCCCAGTGACTTCCAGTCTCTGAGTGTAGAAAATAAGAAACCGCCCTTGTTAACCTCAGAGTTCAGCACTATTCTCCCCTCCTCTCTCCTGACAACCAGGTGGATGGTGATAAGGACCTTATTTAGGGTGTGCTTCATGACGATGATTAGGATTTCTGTGATGCTCTTACCGTTCCGGCCATGTCTTCTGTTCAAACTGAATGACAGAACAGCACTGCCAGAGCTCGACCCCTTTGCCTAATCTTAAAACTGCTGTCCAGATATTTGCAAGATTGCTTGAAAAAGCCAATGTCTAGTTACAGCTGTGTGACCCTGCACGTGTGTATCCCTGAAGGATTTCCCAGTGAGTCTGGGATCCCCTCAGATCCATTCCACTCAGCGTACTTCTCCAGACACACTGATCTGCCGGGGGATGGGGACTTATGTTACAGTGGAATTCCAAATCTCTGAGTGTAACAAATAATCAAGATCTCCTACTAATCTTACTGTTGGCATGCCATGGGAAGTCTGTCCCCTCAAAAAGTTCTGCTGAAAGGCTGTCTCCTTGGTGCTGAGTTGCATTTCCCATTCTGAAGATAAACAGAGAACAACATTAAAGTTTAAGGAAGGATGTGGTCATCTGCAGGAGTGAAAGATAATAAGGCTTATTCACATTTCTCTTCAAACAAAACCTGGCTGAGTTCAAAAGGTAAGAAGGAAGAGGGGAGGAAGAGCGAGGAGGAGGAGAGGAAGAAAGAGGAAAAGGAAAGGAAAGAAAGAAAACAGAAACTGAAAAATTTGAGCATTTTAATTAGGTTAATACATTTGGCAATGGCTAATAATATGAATCAGTTTTAGTTTACTACAAATTGATTCTTTGAAAATTAAAACTGATGGTAAATATTATCAGAAACAAAGAACAAAGACCTGGACAAAGAATAAACAACAAACTGCTAACACAGCGAGAGAACACATCGTTCTGTGAAACCCTAGGACAGTGCGGGCAGCCAGACACAGGACGGCAGGCTGAGGGTTTCGCATGTCCACCGCCTGCCTGCTGACCTCAGGTCTTCCCCAAGGCCCCTCCCTGCACCCACCTTCACTGTGGCCTTGGGGCAGGGCTGTCCATGTGGACACTCACCGTGGGCATCTCCTCCCTGCTCCGTCTTCCAGGCCCCCTTGTGTTCCAACCAGGAGATCAGACTGGGCTTGACCAGCTCACCCCCTGCACCTGGGGAAAGATGCATTCATCAAGAGGTGCAGGCAAGAGAGCCCCAAACTTGGTGTAACTCAGGAGTGATGCTTCTCACGAGAGTCAGGAGTTATCACAGAAGGACTAAACTCGCAAATATCTCTGTCTGGGCCCCAAATGATGAGCTCTTTGAACTCCGAGATCCAGAGGAGTGCTTATGCACTTGGTAATCCAGCAGTAACACCTTGATTCAATTAGAAAATACTGAAACAAACTGGTCCTTGTTCTTCTACATAAAAACAAAACTGTATCAGTGAATCTTACATATTCCAGTGTGTCAGATTTATCATCACGGCATGTTAAAACGTACATAACAGGGATTGGCCTGTATGTCAAAGGAGAGACTAGGCCAGGTCCGGGCAGCATACGCCTGCAATCCCAGCACTCAGGAAGCTGAGGCAGGAAGATGACCAGAAGCCTGAGGTCAGTCTGGGCCACACAGTGAGTTCAAAGCCATCTGGGCTACATGGCAAGATCCTGTCTCAAAAACCAAACACAGAAATGGGGAAGAGATTAACAATTAATGTCTCTTTCCTTTTGGTAGCATCAGGGATTGAATGCAGGCCCTTGTGCACGCTAGGCAAGTGCTGTACCGCTGAGCTCCACTCCCGGAGCCCTAGTCTACCTTTCTGATGGGACAGTGGTGGTGTCACTCACCTGGGCCCACTGGGAGCCACTACAGTAGGTTAGAGTGGACAGCAGTCCCCTTCCCCGTGGTTTTGCTTCCCACAGTTTGTTACCCACCATCTGTGGCCTACAAATACTAAGTGTACATTTCCAGAAAAGATACACAAGTTTTAAATGACACCGATTTTCAGGAATGTGATGATGAAATCTGTGTCCCACTTTGTGCTGCCAGGGATGGGACTCTTCCCTAGGTCCATCAACAGCACCAGGGTAAATGCTACCCACAGACAGTGTCCTTAGGACAGCAGTGCTTATATTCAAATAAGCTTTATTTTACTTAATAATGGCCCCGGCTCTTGCGACATTCCCCCAAGGATAAAGCAGGACTACTGTCCCGGGGCAGAGGTCCGCCCCTCACTGCCCAGTGGACTCTCAGTCCCCCTCACCCAGGACGGGACCCAGGCCCGCAGCCTCCGTCTCCTCCCCAGCAGGCTGCAGCTGCGCGGCCCTCTTACCCACGGAGGTCAGGTTCTCATAGTTCTCCAGCATCACCTCTCTGTACAGCTCTCTGTGACTCTGGTCCAGTAAAACCCACTCCTCCTGGGTGAAGTCCAGGGCCACATCCTCAAAGGTCACCGAGTCCTGAATCAGCACACACAGGCCGGCCTGAGCACCGAGTCACGGCATCGACCTCTGCCCCGGTGTTCACCACAGGTGAGGGGTGAGGCTGACGGCCGCATGGGGCCCCCAAGGCCTCCACTGCCCACCCAGGGCCCAGGGTCCTGGGGACCTTTCTTGTACCCCCTCGCTCACACTGTCCACCTCCTGCCGTCATAGGGACACAATGTCCTTCTGAAACACAACTCTTCTCCCCACAACTAGACGGGTGCTCTGCTGCTCTTTCTCTGTGCTGTTAAAGAACCCTCCTGAACACATGTACGTGTCTGATAAACAGGCATCATGAACTATCAAACTGTAACAGAAAGGAACGCTTCCTTCTCTCTGTCTATGCGAGTACCTCGCGAAATAACAAACACACTCAGTCCCCACCAGTGTCATGGTCAGCAGCTACTGATGTCCTGGAATAGCTTCCTGGTAACACCTTACAGTAAGGGCGGTGTGGCTCCCCCAGGAATCACCTGGGCCTCGGTCCTGGCCGAGGCTTTCCTGGCTTTCAGGCGGGGACACAAATCTGCCTTGGCCAGAAATGTGTCCATCTGGTCGGGCCAGCATGTGATTGGGTCGGACCCAGGCCCCACATACCTGATAGCAGCCTGTCAGGCAGTCAGCCACCATCCTGTCCTCCTTTATCTTTTCTTCAAGAAGGAATCCTGGCTCCCTACACAGAAGGGCTCCTGGAAAGAGAGTAGGCAGGAGAATGTATGGAGGAACAAAATTCTCACTCATCTGCCCAGAAGCCAGCCCCACCCTACATGAGACTCTGTGTAGTTCAACATTTTTTTTCCAGTACTGGGGACTCAATTTAGGATTCTGTGTTAGGCAAGCGCTGTAACGGAAATCAAAGGATTTTATTTTGAGACAAGGTGCCACGAAGTTGCTCAGCCTGGCCTCCCACTTGTAGTCCTCCTGCCTCAGCCTCCCGAGGAGCAGGATTGGAGGGATGTGCCACTGCCCCACCCTAATCCAATGTATGCCAGAAAATTCACACACATACCCATGCTGCCACCATTCAAGGTCAGCACAGTCCTGTCTCACCCAGTGCCTGAGAAAATGAATTGTGAGCCTAGCTGCTCACTGGAAAACCTTAATCTCATTTGAGAGAGAGGAAACTTCAGGCTAAGGGCTGAGAACACTTCTCCCTGTGATGAGCAGTCTCATGACAGATTCTGCAGCATCTCCCTGCAGAACACACACACAGGGAACTGATTTAACAACAGCATTCTCTGGGCCATTTTAGCATCCCCAAAATGAATTAAGAAAGGTACACAACTGCTCAGGCCTGGGACACATGAATGTTTACATTCCTACTGTTCAGGGAGGAGCGAGGCAAAGTCTCTGAAGTGGGGTACTGGCAGAAGGAGGCACTGGCTCCACCTGTGGCTGCCGGCCCATGAGTATGAGAGCCAAATGTGCCTGAATGACCCTTTCCCAGCTGCCCTTCACCACAGCTTACAGTGTGTGACGTGAATGGGCAATCCCCATTCCTCCTTACTCAGGGTTTTCTGGAAGTTAGTCAACAAACCTTACATCATCACCATTCACCACATATTTGCCATCCTTTCTGCAGAGGATATGAACAGAAGCTACTACAGACACTATGTTCTTGGGGCTGGGGAATAGACTCAGTGGCATACCTGCCTGCCTGGCAAGCACGAGGTGGTGTTTGATCCCTGGTGCAAAACAAAATAGTCTGCTCTTGGTGTCAATGCCTATAGACCCAGCACTTGGGAGGCTGAGGCAGGAGGATCAATGAAATTTCAAGGATATCCTGGACTACACAGTGAGTTCAAGGCCAGCCTGGAATACATGGTGATAACCTGTCTCAATCAATCAGCATCTTCTGTAATGTGACTAGCCTGCCATCACCTACAGCGGACCAATGTCTCAGTTTTCATTAGGAGGCTCCACATATGAGCTCACTTATTTACCCTACCAGCCCCTCACCGTGTACCTCACTCCCCTACTTGATGAGAAAATACAGCCTCAGACTACAGGTAACTTCCCACGTCATCTGGACACAAAACAAAGTGGTGACCCGGATGGAGCGCAGCGGCCAGTGCCTAAGCCTGGTCTCCTCATTTTGTGAGTACCACAGCTGGCCAGCAGTCAGTCTAGACCTGCTCTGGGGAGTACAGTGGCCACTGGCCACATGCTACTGACCCCCTCGTGTGGAGTATGATTAAGGGCATTTTGAGATGGAGCCCAGGCTGGCTCCTGTTGACAGCACCCCGAGGGCTGGGTCCGCAGGCCTGCTGTTAGTGTTTGCACGTCGCATCAGCCTGAGGAGTCCAGAAGCTTACCTGGGGTAGTGCCGCAGCAGCTGCTGTCCTGGGGTGCAAAGGACACCCGGTTAGCACTCTGGAACACTGTGTCACCTTGAGAAGCTCAGAAGTTTAACTCAGCGGCTCAGATCTCAGCCTGAGCAAGAGGAGGCGCCTTGGTGTGAGCGCTACACCCGCCCCAGGGCGCAGCCTGCACACAGTAAAAGGCAAAGCAGGCGGAAGGCCTGCTGGTCTTGGGAGGAGCCCGGCTGTCTTCAGCTGGATGCCCTCTCCTGGCTTGCCGCACAGACTGTTAGGCTTCTGCCTGGCACCCTTCAGACTTCCACTGAATTTCCAGCATCCTGTCACAGACCCAGCAGCCTTCTGACTGGACTTGCACAGGACACTGCAGTGAGCTCCAGCCCTTGGCTGCACCCTCCAGCCTCCAGCACGTGACACCTGCAGGCTCCCTCTGTGGCCGACCATTGTGAGCCAATCTTGTAACTTCTTGTATATAGTTCTTGTGTTATAGCTGTTTCTTTAATAAGTCCTGACTGATATGCATCAGTACTGCCATAGAAAATATAGATATTTTCTAATTTTTTAGTTTTAATAAATTAAAACTTAAACCAAAAATCTGAATCTTCATTCAGTTCATCACAAGCTGGAGAATATTCGTACCCTTTTTGGATGAGTAGTTTTCCACTCTGAACTTTATGACAGGGTAAGAAATCAAGTTATCTCATCAAAGCTTAGTGCCCAGCGAATACTGATGAATTGGGGTGAAGAATAATTATCTTGGTTTTTGCCACTCCACTCTCTGCCTCTGGTACCAGGGACTGGACTGGGGCCCAGAAGTTCAGACTGAGCTCATCCCCAGTCTTCGTTTATTTTCAGACGAAGTCTCACAAAGGATGGACTTGGCGACACTCCTGCCTCAGCCTTCCCAAGTGCTGAGATTACAGTTACTATACCCAGGGGTAGTAGTATTTTATTTTCAAGTCCTGGGGATTGAATTTAGAACTCTTCTGAGCTTTATCCACAGTCCTTGAGACAGGGTCTGCCTACATAGCCTTGAACTTGCAATTCTCCTGCCTCAGCTTCCTGAGTAACTGATTATAGACCACTGTGTGCCGCCACACCCAGCTTTAGTAATTCTTTTTGACAAGGTCCAAAGTTAGGATCCCCTGTGTTTTTGGAGAATTCTGCCTGTCATGGGCACATTCCTTCCTTCCTTCATTCTCTGCCTCTGTTCTATGTGCTGGAGACACAGAAGGGACCCAGGACCTCACCCACAGCAGGGAAGAGCTCCACCACTGAGCTCCACCCCACTCCCCATGTACCTGTTGTCAGCACAGAGACTGGCCCACGAGAGGCACCCAGGGACTGACATCTAACAAACAATGGAGGTCCTTTCTCAACAATGCCAATGTACACTGGGGTAACAGTGAAGTAAATGTGTGTCATGGTTTATGTCTGTGTCCCCCAGGCCTCATGAGTTTGCATTGTGCATTTGTGATAGTTCATTGTCTAGTGCTTGTATTGATTGTGTCAGTGCTCCACCCACCTAGGGGTGGAGCCAGGATGTGATGTAACCAGGAAGAAGGTGTGTTTTTCTCTCTGCTGGTTCATGAACTGCGGCCCAGCCATGCCTGCCTATCTTGGAGCCAACTGAGTGTGGACTGAAATTTCCAAAAACTGTAAGAAATAAACCTTTCCTTTCCCAACTTTGGGCTTCAGGTATTTTGTCTTAGCAACGAGTAAAAAGTAACTAAAACAATATGCATTACAAAATACAGCCCTGAGCCCTGCGTACGGTAGTGCGCTGTCACTACTGTGCGACCCACGGGTGGGGGACTGTGTCTCTTCACACCTCACTTGCCTCTCCTGGCTTGTCTGTACTGCAGAGACCACTTTCACGGCCACCGGCTGTGCACATTCAACACTCTGGTTCTTGTGTGGATTTGCCCACCAGCCAGTGTTGGCTGGCATTCCACAGGCTTGGACAATGCTGGTCTTGTGACTGCTGACCACTGCTGGCCCAGACAACCAAGCCCCCGTGTCCGCCTTCCAACAGAGGGCACTGGTGTCTTCAGCCCAGCAACACCTGAGGAAGCCGCGTCTAGGGTGGAGGGCTGGAATATGCTTCCCTTCCTTGACGCTGGGCTTTCATCTGGTGTCCCCCAAGGCCTCGTGCATCAAGGAAAGCTTCCGGAAGGGGAGTGGCTTGGGTGGTGCTGCTGACCTGCTGTAGGAAGAGGGCATGCTCAGGAGAGGTGGGTCACTTCGGGCACGACCTGGGAGGCGCTAGCTCCCTCGCTGGCTCCTTGCTTCTCTCTGCTTCCCAGCAGCTGTGAGGGCAGCAGCGTTCCTCACCGGGAGCCTTCACTGTGCTTTGTGCTTAGACACTGTGTGTCAGGCCACAATACATCACTCCTTGTTTATGTTGTGGGTGTTGAGTATTCTGTCCCAGCAACAAGAAAGTGTCTAAGATTCCAGGTACTAGGTCTTAACTCTCATGGGTATCCAACCTTTTGGCTTGTGTGGGCCACAGTGATCAAAGAGGAGTTGTCTTGGGCCACATGTAAAGTGTGTAGCACAGTTAATGCTTACAAGTAAAAAAACTGCCTTTAATTTTTATGTTTCTTATTCATCCCTGCACCATAAAAAAAGTTTCTTACATCCTTCTTGTTTAAAACAGGCAGAGAGCATGGCTTAGTGTTAGGGTGCTTGTCCAGCATGCAAGACACTCTGGGTTCTAGCACCAGCACTGCTAAATAAACAATCAAGGAATAACTGTTGTCCCTTTGTGGGCTCTTGACTTATACAGAATTGTACAGTGATCCTAGAAGAGGAACCTGGGACGTGAGATTTACATTTTTCGGACTGGCCTGGCCACGCCCTCAGGTGAGCAGAGAGCTAAGGCTCCTGCCCATGGGATCAGCTATCACTTGTGGCTGATTCTGATGAGCTGCCCATCGGCACATTTGCCTTGAGGCCTCGAGTGAGTCTTGCTCTGAGTCATGACAACAGTAAGGGTGCCCATGGAGGCTGCAGTGAGGTAAGGGATGGAACCTTCTTAATTATGCATCTGCACAAGAAGCGACAAGCTTAGATCTCTCACCTTTCAGACCCAGTCAAGACTCGAGAAACTGAGTTTCTTAAGACCGCCTTTAGAAAATGGTGTCATCTGTGGCCCTGGGGCTAGACAATAAAACTCACAATTTAGTTGTACAGGTTAAATCTCAACACAGTCAAAGTCACAGACTAAAATCCAAGGGGAAGTTAAAGGCACTGATCCATGAAAACTGAGGGCATTAAACGAGGAATGCAATGTCTAGCTGCTCGGACTCAGATGCTACTAACACCTGAGAGCTTCATAGACACCCTGACTTTTCTTAGCAGGAAAAGTACAAAGGCTCTTGGTCAATCTCCATTACCACAAAGCAAGACAGAAAGGCCTGTGTGATAAACCTGAGTGCACACCTATGCTCCCAGCTACTCTGGGGCTAATGCAGGAGAGTCACAGGTTTGAGGCCAGCCTGGGCAGCTTAGTGAGACCCTATCTCAAAGTAAACTTAAAAAGGTTTGGAGACATAGCTCAGGAGCAGAAAGTATGCACAGGGTGGATGAGGCCCCAGGTTCCAGCCCTGGCACTGCAAAAAAATAAGAAGTCCCTCCTGTGGAGCTTACCCCTCCCTCCTGTGCTGGGGTCAGAAGGCACTCCTCTCCAGATTAACGAGATAAGCACCTCCATCCTTGTAAAGCTCTGCTGAATTCTCTTTTACAGGACAGGTATGACTTCAAAGGAAACTGTCACAGACCTGAGCTCCTGGATTTCAGTGGAGTTGACAAGGAACCAAGGACTCAAGGGGGTACTGAATAAGCAGAGGTGAACTATGCCCATCAATTACTGTGTCAAGAACAATATCTGGACTCAGTGGCAAGCACCTAGAGTCTCAGCTACTCAGGGTGTCAAGTTAGCAGGATCAATTGACCCCAGGGGTTCAGTGTCAGCCTATGCAACAGAGTAAGACTCTTTTCTTAAAAAAAAAAAAAATAACGATGTAGCTGGATATGGTGATGCACACCTATAAAATCCAGAACTCTGGGAGGCTGAGGAAGGAGGGCCACACTGAGCAACTTAGCAAGACCCTAAAAATAAAAGATAAAAAAAGGGGTAGACATAGTTCTGTACAAAGGGGTTCAACCTCTACTACCACAAAATAACAGTAATAATTTTTTTTAAAAGAACAGGAGCCAGGAGTGATGGCTCACACCTGTAATCCTAGCAGTTAGGAGGCTGACATAGGAGGATCACTGTGAGATTGAGGCCCGCCTGGGCTACGTGGTGAGACTCTGTCTCAAAAACCAACACAATGAACAATAGCCAGGGGAGATATCACAATGCTTTGACCCACAGCAAACCGATCATGGGATCCCAAGGCATGAAACAGGTAAGTAATTAACAAACCCGACTCTAACAGACCACATAATATATGTTTAGGCATTGCAGGCCACATAGCCTGTGTTTCAACTTAGCATGGGAGTTATAGAAAACTGGTAAAGAAATATAATTGTGTCCAGTAAGACTTCATGTACAAACTAGGTGTGGTGGTGCATGCCTGCAATCCTAGCACTCTGGGAGACTGAGGCAGAAGGATCACAAATTCAAGCACGGTCTGAGTAACTTAGTGATTTCATCAGACCCTGTCTAGAAATAAAATAAAAAGGCTATGGACGTAGTTCATGGGTTCAATCTTTTGCACTGCCTAATGAAAGACTCCGACAAATTTATGCACAAAAACAGCTGGACTGAACTGGGCCTGGTAGCACACACCTGTAATCCTAGCACTTGGGAGGCTGAGGCGGGAGGGTTGCTGTGAGTTCAACGCCAGTCTGAACTACAGTAAATTCACACCTAAAGTGAATTCAAAACTACATAGCAAGACCTGGTCTCAAAAACAACCTCCCCTCCCCAAACAAACAAAAAATGCGCAGGATGGCTAGATGTGGCTGTGGCTGCTGGCCACTGTGAGCCCCTGTGTCCATCTGAATACTGTTTAATTTGTAAAACAAGGAAGCTTCCAACATGATAGCCAAAAATCTGACTTGAGATACTGCAGTGCAGATTCAGACCTTTTTATCCAATCAGCACACAGAAGCTACTATAGGACCCTAGTGCTCCTTCATCAAAGGACTGACCCCACACCCCTACCTCTATCCACACTATAAATCTTGCTCCAGCCTTCACCAGAGATCTGTACTCAGCAGAGTGATTAACAGTGGACATCAAGTACCCATATGGCCTTGAGATGACAAGAAATCCTGGTGACTCAAAATAATACAGTGGCCCACCAGCTGATCCAGAGGTTTATTAGAGTCAAGTGATAGACTGAGTTAAAGTAAATTAAGTAAAGAACTATGCACAAAGAATTTCTGAACAGTCAAACTAGTTAGTTCTCAGTGTGAATTTAAAGTAGTTTGATTTGAAAACCACAAGCAAACTAGTCGCTTCTTTTTCTTCTGGTACTTGGTATTAAACTCACAACTGCATGCTTGCCAGACAGGTACTTATGCCAGACAGCTAAATGCCCAGCTTTCTGAAGCTGTTTCTTATAAATGCCTATAGTTTAAAAAAAACCCCCAAAACAACCCAAGAGACCAGAAGATGACAGAGTAGTAAGTAGTAGAGCTGACAAGCCTTCTGAGAGCTGCTGTCCAGACCCTGGAACACAGCGACATGAGGAAGACAAGGGGGAGGGAAGTGGGTGCCTGGGTCCGGGAAGAATCTGAAGCACGAAATGATGCCCCTGGAGAGAGTGAAGAGAGAAAACTCAACAAAGAAGGACGCAGCTGGTGGCGCCTTCTCCCCGAGACGGGATTCTGGGTGTGAGAGGAGCAGTTTGGGCCCGTGGATGCCCAGGCATGGTGACGGGGATGGACGGGGATCCCGAAGTCTCTGCAGAAAGACACAGCAGGAAAGGGAGCAGCGCGGTGAAGGACTCCCCTGACTGGCGGGAGCGCAGGGGCTCGCTCTCCACGGGAGAAAACAATCTGCCTGGAGCCATCCTGGAGATGGGCAGCCTGAGGACAGAACTCAGAATCGTGGCTGCTCCCTCTACTGGGCACCTGAGGGGCTCAGACCCGCAGTCGGTGCTTGGCAGAGGGGGAGCCAAACGTGCTGTCTCCAGAATGTACAGGCTTCCCGAGAGTGCCCACTACCCCGCTGCGGGTGTGCTGGGATGGATCAGCACAGCTCCCTCTGTGCTGTCTCCCTGGTTCTCCGTCAGGGAAAGCAGAGACAGACCTGGACACTCCTGGAAGGAGACTTTGTTTGTCTTCTTCCTCCTCTCCCTTGTGTTTGTCTTTTAGTTTTAATTTTTGTTTTTTTCTCCTTTCTTTCTCCCTCACTGTTCGATCTTATTTTTACACAGGTATAAACGTGTTTCTGGCCTCCCCTGGCTCTGTGCTGTTCTTATCTTTCCCTTTAGTCTTCTACAGGAGTTTCCCAAAGTGTATGTGATCCCCCGACCTTACTTTTAATCTCTTCCTCTTTCTCCCAATTCTCTATTTTCTCCTGAAACTGTATTAAATTTTAACTCCTGAGAGCAAAATTGACATACAGATTGACATATCATTGTATACTGCATATAATTTTCTACTTTTAGATTTTGCTACAACTACAAATCTAGTTTATATGTTTAAAAACGGCAAGTTAACTGTTAGCTCAGTCTGTCATTCTCTAGGCTGTGTTTGATGCTATTAGTATCATTGTAGCCAAACTACTGACATAATTACTCTAAACAGCTGTTGGTCCTGGTATTTCATGACTGAGACTGACCAAGGGTCACAGAAAATACTGTAGTGGCACAGAGCCAAAGACTGGGCCAAATGAACAACAGCTTCTCATCGCCAACAAACTGGAGGTGAGATCTTCCAACAGACTCAAAACCTATAAACCAGCTATACCTGGAAGACACCTCAGAGAGTCGATATCACCTAAGGGTCCTAAATACTAGCAATAAAGCAACTCATCACAGGCAATTTATAAGCATCACCTCAGGAGTTAAAAAACAAAGAAAGAAAGCAAGAAAGAAAGAGAAAAGAAAAGGAAATAAGAAGAGACTTAAACAAAATACAGCCCTAAACACTGAGTATGCCAAAGACAAATTTCAGGGGACAACAAGGCGAGATAGTCAGAAAGGCGCCCACCAGGCCTCTCTGATGTGGAAACAACAAAGTAATTGAATGAGGCTCTGGAAAAATTGCAATCAGAAATAATCTCTCAGATAACTACAGAGATGACATCCACAATAAAGACCCTGTTGAGTGATGCTAGAGCAGATACAGACAAAAAAGTACACAAGTTTAAGAAAATTATGAAAGCTCAGCACAGGAAAGAAATGGAACCCATAAAGCAGATTCAAGAAGGTATTCAGGAGAATAAACTCTCCAGTGAGAGTATTCAAAGCAGATTAGGCCAAGTGAGAACAGGATCTCAGATATTGAAGACAGGCTTGCAGTTAGTGACCAGGGAAAAACAGGTTTCTTAGTACTAGCACGGAAATCAATCCAGCAGCTGACAGATGAGACAAGGAAGAATAAATTAAGATTGATTGGAGTCAATGAAAAAGCAAGAGATATCACAAATAACATGAAGAAAATGTTCACGGACATCATGATGGAAAACTGGTAGAGAAAAAGAATTTGACAAACAGATACATGAGGAATATAGAACTCTAACTAGCCATGATTGAAAAAAATGTATAGTCAGGCATATCATAGTCAATACTCCAGAAATTCAACACAATAGAATAGAATCCTAAATATGAATCCTAAAGAATAGAATCCTAAGAATTTCCCCTAAATGGAGAAAAGAGACAAATCACCTATAAAAGAAAGCCCATCAGAATCACAGCCGACTTCTTAGCATGAACTCTCAAGGACAGCTTAGAGTGAAGTATTTCAACTTATAAAGGAAAACAACTTTCATTCCAGATTGATGTACCTTGAAAAACTATCTTTCAAAACTGATGGACAAATAAGATACTTCCATGACAAAGAACAGCCCAGGAAATTTATAGCCACCAAACAAGTTCTCCAAAATGAACCCCAACAGAAGGAATCCAGCTGGCAAACAATCAGAGGGAAGGGAAAAAGGCGGGTAGGTGGGGAAGCCAACATCATGAAAAATCATGGTAAGGACAAGTCAACACATAGGATAGCCAGTCATGTTAAAACACACAGACTGACAGAATGGATCAAGAAACAAAGTCCAACAATATGCTGCATAAAGGAACACATTGAATTCAAAAACAAATTCATTGACTGAAAGTCACAGGATGGAAAATAATACTCTGTGTGACAGGAATCCAGAAAAAAGCTGGGGCAGCAGTGTTCTATTTGCAGACAAAGTGAATTTCAAGCCAAGACTGATTAAGAGAAGTAAAGAAGATCACTACATTCTTATAAAGGGAATAATCCAAGAAGAAGAGATAACAGTCAGAAATATATATGCAACAAATACCAGTGCACCCAACTCTCTAAAACAAATACTAATGGACTTGAAAAATCAAATGTCATGGTTTATGTCTGTGGCCCCCAGGCCTCATGAGTTTGCATTGTTCATTTGTGATTGTTCATTGTATAGTGCTTGGATTGATGGTGTCAGTGCTCCACCCACATAGGGGTGGAGCCAGGATGTGATGTAATGGCAGGAAGAAGGTGTGTCTTGCTCTTTGCTGGTTCCGGTTTGCTGTTTGCAGCCGCCATGAACTGTGGCCCAGACATGCCCACCTGCCTTGGAGCCAACTGAGTATGGACTGAAACCTCCAAAAACTATAAGAAATAAACCTTTCCTTTCTCAACTTTGGGCTTCAGGTATTTTGTCTCAGTGATGAGCATAAAGTAATTAAGACATCAAGTAAGCCCTAACACAATTGTATTGGGAGATATCAATACCTCACTGTCACAAAAAGGTAGATCAACTAGACAAAAAAATCAATAATGAAATATCGAGCTGAACCAAACTTTTGAACAAATGAACTTAGTAGAGGTCTATAGGATGTTCCACCCTACAATATCAGAATATACATTCTTCTCAACTGCACACGAGATGTTCTCCAAAATAGATCACATACTGGCTCACAAAACATGCTTAAGTAAATGCAAAGGGATTTAAATTATCCCATGCATACTATCAGACCAGAGTGCTTTGAAATTGGAAATCCATGACAAAAGAAACCAGAAGAACTTCATAAACACATGGAAATTATAAAGCACCATCTTAAACAACCAGTGGGTCACAGATAAAATTAAAGAAGAAATTAGACAGTTTTTCCAGATAAATGATAATAACACTCTAACCTATGGGACACAATGAAAGCAGCCCTAAGAGGGAAATTTATAGCAGTAAATACTCATATAAGGAAAACAGAACAAGTGCATATAAACAACTTAATGGCGAACCTCAAACATCTAAAAAGAAGGGCAGGTAAGCCAAAATCTTGTACAAGGGAGGAAATTATAATGATCAGAGCAGAAATTAATACATTGGAGACTAAAAAAAAAAAAACAAAGAAATTAATGAATCAAGAGTTGGTTCTTTGAAGGATTAAAATTAACAAACCGTTAGCCAACTTTATCAAAAAAAAGAAAGACTCAAATCCATGCAATTAGATATGAAAAGGGCGAAATCACAACAGATCCTGCAAAAAATTCAGAAGATGATCTTACCTCTACTTTGAAAACTTGCATTCTAACAAGACGGAAAATACAGAAAAAAATGGGCAGATTCCTAGATACATAAGCATTACCAAAGGTGAATAATGATATAAACATCAATATAAATAAACTAGTATCAATCAATGAAATCCAAGATGTAATTGAAAACCTATCAACAAAGAAAAGCCCAGGTTCTGATGAATTCCACAAGAAATTTACCATTACTTCTCAAATTCTTCAATGAAATTGAAAGGGAAGCAATACTCCCAAATTCATTCTTGGAAGCAAGCATTACCCTGATACCAAAACCAAAAAAGAACCCAACTAAAAAACAAAACAGGACAATTTTCTTAATGAACATAGATGCATAAGATACTGCCAAACAAAATACAGTAAATCATCTAGAAGATTATACATCATAATCAAGTGGGATTCATCACAGGGAGGAAGGGATGGTCCAACACATGTAAACCAACAAATGTAATACTCCTATTAACAGACCAAGGTCAAAAATCACCTGATCATCTCAATAGATGCAGAAAAAACTTCCGGCAAAGTCCAGCACCCCTTCATGATAAAAACCCTATAGAAAATTTGAATAGATGATCTTTCTCAATCTGATAAAAGCCATCTACAACAAACCAACAGCCACCATCACACTAAATAGACAAAAACTGAAAGCTTTCACTCTAAAGTCAGGAACAAGACAAGGATGTCCACTGTCTCCATTTTAAAAAAAATTTTATTTAAAGAGAAAAAAACACAAAAAATAAAAAGGGTAGAAATAATACATAATTTCAAAAAAAATAAGCAATAAGAAATCGCTAGTTGATTGTCTCTACTCTTATTCAACATAGTCCTGGAAATTTTAGTTGGAGCAATTAGACAAGAGAAAGAAAATACAGACTCAATGCAATTCCAATCAAAATTCCGATAGCGTATCTCACAGAATTAGAGACAACAGTCCTAAAATTCATCTGGAACCAGAAGAGACCTAGAATAGCACAGGCAATCCTGGGCAACAAAGGCAAGATAGGGGTATCACAATCCCTGACTTTAAATTATACTATAAAGCTACTGTGACAAAAAACCAACTTGGTACTGCCAAAAAAAAAAAAAAAAAAAAAAAACAGACCCAAAGACCAATGGAACAGATTAGAAAATGCAGAAACAAGTGCAGACACATTAAGACACCTTATCTTTGACAAAAGTACCCAACACATTCTCTGGTAGAAAGCCTCTTTAATAAACAGCGCTGAAAAAGTTGGCTCTGCATAGGCTGAAGATTAAAGTTGGGCCCATAGCTTTCACCATGCACTAAACTAAATTTGGAATGGATAAAGATCTAAATATTTTTTAAAAACCAGTAAATCTACCTGAAAATAGAGTAGGTAAAACTACACAGGTGTAGACTTAATGAACAAAACCCCAGTCACACAGGAACTGTCACAAAGAATCAACAAATGGGATCTTATCTTATTAAAAAGCTTTTTCCACAGTGAGAAAACCACCAACAGAGTAAACAGACAACTCACAATGTGGGAGAAAATGTTTGCCAGCTGCTCCTCTACTATCTACTATAAAGAACTAAAAAGAAAAATCAAGTCATCTTAAATTTAAGACCCACACCGAAAATGGGCATCTGAGTTGAATACACACATCTCAGATGAAGAAATACAAATAGCAAATAAATACATGAAAAAATGTTCAACATCCCACTGGTCATACAAGAGATGCAAATTAAAATAACACTGAGGTCCCACTTTCACTCCAGAAAGGTTATTAAGAAATCCAACAATGACAAAAGTTGGATGGGCTATGAATGGGAGTGTAGATTCGGACAACCACTATGGAAATCAGTGTGGAGATTCCTCAAAAAACTAGGATTGGAAGTCCCAATTGACCCAGCTATTCCTCTTCTGGATATCTTCCCAGAAGAATAAAAGACATCATAATGCAGAGATATATGTGCACCCATGTTTACAGCAGCACAATTTGTAAGAGTTAGATCATGAAAACAACCTAAAAGTCCATCAACTGAGTAATGGATAAAAAATATGTACTTTTATACAATGGAGTACCACACAACCATAAAGAAGGATAATCTGTAGACTTTTATAGTTAAATGGATACAACTTGAGACCATATTCAGTGAAATAAATAAGACATACATGTTTAAAGATTGTACTGTCTCACTAATATAAGAAGCTGAAAGAAACATCACACAAAAGATAGGACAGTTGTATTAGTGATTTCTCTGAGTTCATTGAAGAGAAAGGTTTGTGCTAGTATAGTTTGGACGATTAAATGCAGATGTCTTATATTCTAAGTAATCAATCTGAAGATAACAATGTGCAATGTATATAACATTGTTACTCCCTAATTGTTGTGTGTTGAGATTTTATTCTTTAAAGCAAAAATCAAACGAATGAAATATAAGGCTATCCAGCCAGAAACCTCTATCTACAGTTATATCTAGGCACTTATAAATCGAATAGACCAAACCAGGGCGCTGTGTAACTAAAACTGAGCTCGTATATTCTGCATTTTATGTTCATGTTCTGCCCTTATCACAGCCTCTAAGCCACTTACAATGTGGAGGCGCTCAATTCACGAATTGTTGTTTGGAAAAATAAACACTGTAATTTTATGACCCCACAGTTAACCTTTTAACAATTCTTAATCCACAGAGGGCCCAACTGAACTACAGACCCACAGTATGATTATTTTCCTATTTCTTTAATGCATACTTGGCATACAGACATTCAAAGCAACTGGCAGAATCCCTTAAATTTGCTTTTTGACTGAGAAGATGAAAGCTTTTGACAGAAAGAGGTACAAGAAAGAAATCCCTACCCTCTTACATAATAAACCATAAATCACAGAACATTCATGGAGGGATGAATATACTGTCACTGAGAAAGACTATCTGACATCAGAATCTCCTGTGTGTCCAGTGATGAGAAAGAGACTTAACACAGGTTTTGGTACCACGAGTGGGGTTGCTGTGACCACATGGTTTAGAAGCTTTGGAAGTGGTTTGCTGGAAAGGACAGGTTTGCAGAGAAGCCCTAGAATGCTGTAAGCCAAGCTTCGGAGATTCTGGTCAGAGCTCTGAAGACAAGCATGCTTACAGAAATGTGGACAGCAAAGACCGACCTCATGGAAGTTCAGTTGGGAACAAAGACCTCACTGGCAGTTCAGCAGACCCCATGTATGTACACCTGGCTGAAACATGTTTTCAGTCTGCCTATGTCCTCAGACTTTTTTGAGAGACTGAAATGAGGTGGGCTAATTTAATCTGGTAGAAGAAATTTCAAAGCAGCTCAATGTTTAGGATGTTATATGTGTAGTATCAGTTTTTAGTCAGATTTATAGTGAGAATCAGGAGCAAATATGAGAGTCAGGAGGTAAAAAGTTTTCATTTTCAAGAAAATGAACAACCTGGAAAGTTGGGCCCCTGGAGAGTGTGGCCATTGAAACAATTAATACTAAAATTAAAAATATTTTTCATCAAGATTACAGGAGAGATGGCTTGAGGGTATGTCAAGAATCAGCAGGAATCTATTGTTCACAAGCTCAAGGGTATAAACTATAAAACTTTCATCTGAGAAGACACCCTGGACCCCCTGCTCCAGAAATGAGTAGGGAATTGGGTTCTTGGGATTTGTTTCAGTGCTCAGCCATCTAGGCACTCATAGGCCTCTGCTTCCATGGTCCAAGGGTACCTGATTATGGCATGAGCTGGTGGCAGACCTCAGTATCATCTATATGGTGTTGGTTTTTTAGGAAAGCTGAATGCAAGGGTTATGTGGTCATGGAGTCTTCCACCAAGATTTCAGAAGACCTGGGAGGCAGTGGTTCAAGCTGCAAGAATAGTGGAGACACTCTTACCACAAAGTGCTCCAGGGTGGTACACATGGAACTACGGGATTTAATGTTTGCCCTGCTGGATCTCCATGCTACTTTCTTCCCAGTCCTTCTTAGCCCCTATTTTCTTTCTATTAGAATGGGAATTTTCCCTATGTCATTGTATATTAGCAGTATTTAACTTCCCCTTTGATGTCTACAGGGTCTCACATCTAAGAGTTTGCCTCTAGTCTCACAGGAGACTGGATTTGTTGAAACTGTTAGGCTTTGGTGATACAAGTGGTAGATTAAATGTATTTTGTGTAAAGAGATGGATGAGTCTTTTGGGGACCAGAGACAGAATGTTATAATTTAGATTTATATCTCTCCCTAAAGGCTCACGTGTTCAGAGACTGGGCTTCTGGAAGGTGATTAGATCATATGGGAACTACACTCCTAAGTATATGAATGCCCCAATGAATTAACAGCTGGGAGTGTTGTTACAGGTGGAGGCTGGATGGAAGAGCAGGTCAGCGGGGGCATTTACCTGAAATGTCTATCTCCTTCCCCAGCTCTGCTCTGTCTTCTTTGCTTCCTGGACACCATGAGATAAGCAATGTACATTTATCAAACACTTCCATCATTTCTTTCTGACTTAGAGCCAGCCAACTATGGACTGAATCCTCTAAAAATCCTAAGCCAAAATAAATCTCTTCTCCTCTAAATTGTGGGTATTAGGTATTATGTTCAGTGGCAGAAAGATGACTAAGAAAAAAACCAATAAAAACAAAAACAAAAAACCCCTCAAACACTTCAAATAATCAGGAATCATAACACTTAATTCATCTCAATTTAATCTCCCACATTGGCCAGTACAGGAATCACCTAGATCTTGAAGAATAAAACTGTGTTAAGACAGATTTCAGGTGCTATAAGAAAATACTTGAGACAACCAATTTATAAAGAAGAAAGATTTATTTTGGCTTCAGAGATTTCCATCCATGATCAACTGGTCCAGGGGTTTTTAGGCCTATGACAAGGAAGTACATTAGGGCAGAAGCACATAGCAGAGGAAAGCTGCTTACCTCATGGTTGCTAGGAAGCAGACAGTGTGTAAAAGGGCAGAGGCCTCACTATTCATTACAGATCTGACTTCCTTGAATCAGGCCCTACTCTTAAGCTTGTAGCATCTCCCAGTAGTGTCACAAGTGAGGAACCAAGTCCTTAAGACATGGTCTTTGGTGGAAGGATATTTAAGAGCCAAATGCTAACAGTCAGTTATCATGAATTTACTTAGGCAGTAACTTCCAACTGTTGATTTTTTTGTTTTGTTTTGGGATTTTTTTTTTTTTTTTTTTTTTGGATACAAGGTTTTGTTACATTGCCTAGGCTAGCTACCAACTCACAATCCTCCTGCTTCAGCCTTCCAAGAGACAGAATATATCACTAAATCCACTTCCAATTATTTTTTAAGACATACTCATTTACAGAAGAAAACCAACACATTCCCTATGACTTGACATGCAAGTACTGACAAAGCTAAGTTCTGTTTTCCTGAACTGGCTAAAAATAAACAGAAAGCAATTAGCATTTACCTGGGAGGACCAACAGTGTACGGGTGTACTGTCATGTCACTGCCCCAGCCTACATCAAATTTGTAGGCTCTGGTATAGCAGTAGTCCTAGAAGACTGGACATTCCACACAACACTACATTTGCAAATGTAGTGTGTGCTGACGTGCTGATTGTATCTAACAGACTAAGGAGTAGAAAATAGTTTAGATACCTTTAGAAGAAAGATACAAAACAGAAGGTGGTAATTCAGGAGTGAAAGAAAGCTTTTAGGGGATCAGCGGTCCGGATCATGTAAAGATGTTCCCTCAAAGATTTTACTGTAAGATACTGCACCTCATCCAATCTACCAGCCCAAAAATGGGCAGAACGGTCAATAGAGCTTTTGAATTGGGGGGAGGGGTACTGGGAATTGAACTCAGCACCTTGTGCTTGCCAGGTGGATGCTGTGCAGTGGAGCTATATCACCCAGCCCTAAATTTTTATTTTTAGTGGGTTTTTGTTTTTATTTTTTCAGTTGAGATAGGGTCATACCATGTAGTTTGGGCTGGTCTTGAATGATGTAGCCCAGGCTGGTCTTAACTTACAAGGGTGATCCTCCTGCTCTAGCCTCCCAAGTGCCAGGACTGCTGGCCTGTGCTACCATGCCCAGCATCCTTTGAATTTTGGATGCAATATTTTCAAGAATGTGCTTTAGTACATCTATGTAGTCACGTACCTGAAAGGCTTCCAGTTTCAAGTGAATACCAAAGCAAGTTAATGGTGAAGTATAAATTTATCAAGCACATGGTCCAAATTACCAAGCAGACCCAATAATACTTCAAGTGTCCATAACAGACAGCGTATTCCCGGAAGCCTCTGGCAAATACTTGTAGGAGATGTATAGTACAACATTTTGGTACTTTAGGGTAAATCTAGGCTCTCTTTTCAAATTAAATTAAATTGCAGTTTTGCAGTGCTGGGGATTGAATCCAGGTTCTTGCAATGGCAGGCAAGCACTCCATCACTGAACGACAACCCCAGCCCCTATGTCTATTTTTCCAGTGGTGGCCTGTGGGAGCTCGCTGTGTGTCTGTTTCTCCCTGCCATGCTGGCTACCCTTGGAAAAAAAGTGTCCCAGTGACAGCCTGACGGAAGCCAGTATCTCCAATCACAGTCCTTGAGCGCATGGGGTGTGTCTCTTGTCCCTATGTCCACTTTTAAAGGTAACTATCCTGCTTTTTATACTGGCACTGGCTTACCACTAGTCTTGTGTTAGAATAACCATGAGCAGTCAGGCATGCTTGTAATCCCAGCACTCAAGAGGCTGAGTCAGGAGGATCACCATGAATTCAAGACCACTACATAGCAAGACCCTGTCTCAAAAAAATCAGTAAAATAATAGCCATAGACATGAATTAAAGCAAAACTGAGAAATTTGAGATCATGTGGCCAAAAACCATAAAGTACTTATAATCAGTCCTTATATAAGTTTACTACCTCTCCCCTGGAGCCCATTACAAGTTTAGAGAAAACAGCAAGCAATAAAGAACATTTAAAATACTATGAGAAAGCAGTAAGAAATAGCAAAACATAGGACTTTCTCAAGAATATGTGACTCCTGAAAAGTCAATTAAATGGGGGTACAGGTGTTTCTCTATGGTAAAGCACACATTCAGCATGCATGAGGCCTGGATTCCATCCCCAGCACCACAAAATGAGAGAGAGAGAAAACAGAGATTGTTCTAAACTAAAAAAAGACATGAACAACTGCAATATATAAGTCTTAAGATACAAAAACACAGGAAGCATATAGAGGAATAATGTGCAGAATTCTAGTGTTTCACAAAGTAAACGTTAATGTTTTTAATTTTCTCAGGTGAAATCATACTATGGTTCAGCTGGACATCTTCAGGAGGTGTAATACCCAGTAATCAAAGGAAAAGTTTCATGTATGCAATTTAAGTTCAACTTACACACAAATGATGGTTCGCCATTAAATGAAAAGTGATAAACTCAATGGGTAAATCTGTACAAGCCTATCAAAGAGTATAGTATTCTGGGAGCTGGGAGGCTGAGGCAGGTGGACTGTAAATTGCAGCCCAGTCCATGCAACTTAGCAACCTAGTGAGATCCTGTCTCAAAACCAAAACAAAAACAGGTGGTGGTGGTGGTGATGGCTGTGGCTGGAGACGTAGGTCACTGTGAAGCCCTGGGTTCAATCCCTAGTACAAACAACAAACAAACAAACAAACAAAAAAACAGTAAATATATAAATCTATTTTACTTAAGAAGGTACTTACAAAATGTGTATTAGGTATTATAAAACAGGAAGAAAATGTTCAAATGGGGAGGGGAACACAGGAGGGGTGATGGGGAAAGGAAAGAAAGTGAAAGTAAAAGTAAAAAAGAATGAGAAAAGGAAAAATATGGAAACAAAGATTTTGTAAATGGGGAAGGGAGGAGGGCTTGAAGGCAGGTAGGGGAATGGGAGAAAAAAAAAAAAAAAAAAAAAAGGCCGGGGGTTTAGCTCTGTGGCATGAGTGCCTGCTTGGCAAACTCGAGGTCGTGAGTTTGATCCCCGGCGCGCACACACACACACACACACACACACAAAAAAAAAAAAAGAATCAAGTTATATCATGGACAGGTACAAATTCTCTATGATGAATGTGATCATTATATATATATCCAAAGTGCACCAATAAAATCTGATTTTAAAAAAAGATAATACTTAAAATTTTCATTGTATTGAGTATTCCTTGTACCAGGTGGTTCAATTTTAATTTAAAAAAATTGGGAAGAATACACTTGATATTCTGTCATTAATAATGAGTATCAATTAATCTACTACCACTGTAGTGAAACTTCTTTCTTCCAGAAGACCTGTTTTAAAGCTCTGTGTGGCCTGGGGACTCCAAATGAAGAGAATAGCTGAACATCTTTTCACCTATATACAGAACTTTTTTTGGTACCAGGGATCGAACTCATGACCTCGCGCTTGCCAGACAAGGCAAACTCCGCTGGGCTAAATCCGCTGCCCCTATATAAAGAAATAGTAACGCCCTAGACGCCTAAGAATCGACTTCATCTTTCCATTTCAATATTGTGTATCAAAAGAAAAAGCAGTCATGGGTAGAGTGGTGCACACCCGTCACCCCAGTAGTCTGGTAGGAAGCTTAAGCAGGAGAAGAGAAATTTCGAGCTCAGCCTGGACAACTCAGTGCGGCCTTGTTTCAAAAAAAAAAAAAGGGTGGGGGGGGTGTTGGGGGTGCAGCTCAGTGCAAAGGCGCTGGGTTCAATCGCCAGTGCCACAGAGTAACAAGAATAACAACAACAGCAATGATTAGAAGAAAAGGAAAGCGCAGGAAAGGAAAGGAAGAGGTGGCCTTCTTGGACCAACTTTCACTCCACGCTCACCTTAACTCTCCGGAATCGCCAAATCCTTGAGGAGGAAAGGGGCTGGGGCCGGACGCAAGGTTACTAAACGGCTGAAATTCCTTTCCTTCTGGGACAGAATCCGAAAGGCTGCTCACATCCATCCCACGCCGCGCTCTTCAGGACCAGGAATCAGGACCCGGACCGCTGGCGCCGGCACCCAGACCCCGACTCGGCCACGCCCGCAGGATGCGCTAGCCCCGGAGCTCGGCTCTCCACTCTCCGCAGGCCGCCGACGTCCCTACTCCCGTCACCTCTAGGACTCCCGCCCCCGCAGGAGGACAGCTGGGGACGACTGAGACGACCCACCATGAGGAAGGCGACCAGACACAGCACCGAGCCGCCGGCGCCTCCAAAGACGACGGCGCCCTCTGGTGACGTCACTTCCGCTTCCGGCCGCGCGCGGAACGCGCGAGATTGGAAGCTCGGCGGCGTCCAGCGGCGAGAGGCCCAGGGCTGCAGTTTCCTCCGCGGGCTTGGGCGCCGGCGACCCTCTGGCGGACGCAGAGCCCGAGAAGGAGGCATGGACCGGCGCAGGGGCCCTGGGCGAGGGGACAACTGGGTGGAAAGCGACCCGCAGGATGCTCACAAAGCTTATCAGACTGTGCTTGCGCATCTGGAATCCTGACCTTGATTCATCCATGATGGCGACAGAGGAGATGGCAGCGCCTGTTGCTTCTGTTCAGTCTCTGCATACGTAGCCGTTATCTCTCCCCGTATTCATTTATTTACTTATTTTCGTGGGAATGGAATTCAGGACCTTGCACTTTCCAGGCAGGCGCTGTGTCACTGAGCTGTATCCCTGGTACCACTGTTATTTTGAGACCCAGGGTCCCTAAATTGCACGGGCTGCCCTATAATTCGCGATGTGGGGGCACAATGATAATGTAGGAACACATTTACAAGGTAGCAAATTTATAGATATGTCATGATCAGTTACAAGTCCCTGACGAAATTTCTGTTCTGCTGTTTCTGTTGAATTCAATGGACCTTGATGGGGGCTACAGCCCAACTGCAGACCTCTGATGAGCACTGAGTCAGAATAATTGTCTATACCTCAAGGCTCCCAGGGACAATTCAGGGGCCCCTCCCCAGAATGTTCCCATATTGTGGTAATGCCCTTAACTGTGCTCAGTCTGTAAGGGCCCCCCTTTCCTTGTTCCCAGAGTGTTTTTATGATAAACAATTCCTTTGTTTCAAGACTAGTCTGACTGTCAATATATGACTCAATGTATGTAGCCAATTATGTGATGTATCATCACTTAATTTCTACCTCTCACTTCTAAATTCTGTGTAAGTTAAATTGTTCTTAAATTCAACACTTGCCTTTGAGGAATTATTCTGCGACATTCTACTGGTGTGAAGATCCAACAATCAGCTGGTGTAAAGATTAAACACAGCCTTCCTATCTCCTCTGTGCAGAGTCTTCCTTTTGGTTTGGTATGGCTTAGGAATTTTCCCACAACAGTGATTCTTCTGCCTCAGTTTCCCTGCTACCTGGGATTACAGGAGTGTGTGTGCACCACCATCCCCAGCTGTTACTGCCCCTTATTTTGTTTAATTTGTCTGAACACCATACTAACTTCTTAATGGTTGATTTGTGTTTTCAGTGTAAGCAGCTTCAGGGTAATATCCTTGTTAGGTTTTTTGTTTTTTGTTTTTTGTTTCACAATAAAGGCAAAAAGGAAAAAAGAGGCCTTCACTGAGCAAGCCTAGCTCACTGGGCTCCTCTAGCTGGAGACAAAGGGGACTGAGGTTTATGGACTCTGGCTAGAGGCAGAGTTTGAGAGGCAGGCATTAATGGCGGATTAGGAGCGGACTGGAGTTTTCTTCTGGGCTCACAGGAAAGGAAGGAAGAAGTTGTGTTTAGGGCTGAGGGGGGAAGGAAGAGGAAATGATTATTGGGGAGATAAGCTGTTGTTTTTGTCTTCCAACATGTTAGAGCAATACCATAATATTCACCAATTTATACTTGGGCAGAAACCTTTCAATCTTGATTTGTGTTTTTTCAAATATGTATTGTATAACTAATTTTTATGATCTTGTTATATGGTCTGAATCACATATAAGATATTCCAAAATAGCATGGAAATTACCAGGCACCCCTCCCCTTCATTTATTTTAAAATGTCACATAGTCTCAATAAGGATGCCAAAAGATGTTTTTGGAAGAGTACCAGGAATCAAGCTCAGAATGTCACACTTGCCAGGCAGGCAGTGCACCACTGAGCTATATACCCTCATCTGGCCAAATGATTATTATGGACTTCAACTTGTTGATACAAAGTTCATATGGAGGAACAAACATCTGATGTTAAGAAGCAAGAAAACATTGAAAAGAAAAACCAGGGCCTGGGGATACAGCTCAGCGGCACGGTGCTTGCTTGGCAAGCGTGAGGTCCTGAGCTCAACTATCGGAACACACACACACAAAACAAACAAGAAAACCAATGATGACCTACAGACATGGAAACATGCTGTAAATATGCTGTAGCTAATATTGTATGGTGGGGCACCTGGACAGGAATCTAACAAGTAGAATAATATCCAAACAGACTTAATAACAAGAACCTAGACCAGGACCAGGACCAGGACTGGGATTGGACCACACTGAACCAGACCAGACCAGAACAGACCAGACCAGACACAACACAGCACACCAGACCACAACAGGCCAAACACCAGACACAACCCTAGACCAGAACAGCCAGTACCAGGCTAGACTATACCAGATCACAGTGGTCCAGTCAGGACCACCCCAGGCCAGATCAGACTGCACTACACCAGACCACACCAGACCATACCATTCCAGATACCAGACTGAATACCAGACCATAAATGAACAGACAAGACCACACACAACAGACAATTCCAAAGCAGACCATTGTAGATGAGACACCATAACAGACCAGTTGAGACTAGACCAGACTAAACAGCAGGACAGAACAGAGCAGACCTTACACCAGACCAGACACAAGACCAGACACCAGACCAAAAGAGACCAGACCAGACTAGACATGAGAGCAGACCAGATGAGAACAGGTCAGACCAGATACCAATCCAGGTACCACACAAGACACCACACCAGAGACCACACCAGGATAGACCAGGCACCATTCCAAACACCAGACCATACTAGACCAGAGAACAGTAGACCATACCAGATCAAATCAGACCACATGAGACCACAACAGACAACATAATGCCAAACACCAGACCAGACCAGACCAGACTAGATCGCTCCAGACCAGACACAAGACTAGATACCAGACCATACACCAGAACATATCAGATCAGTCCAGACATCGGAGCAGACCAGACCTCACCAGATCAGACAATAATTCACAGACAAGACCAGATCAGACCAGATAACAAGCCAGCATGGACTGGCCCAGTCCAGCAATAGTGACAGACACATAGTGACAGGGGTGTGTTTGACTGATTCTCCCTCTGGGTGATGGCTGCCCCAAGGAAGCAAGAGCTCCAACGATGGCCTGCAGGTGCACAGGGCTTATTGGGCTGTGTGTCCCTGCTCCTGCTGGCTGTCCACAGAAAGCAAGCCTTTTGGTGGCAGCAGCCAGCAGGCAGGGTGGATCTGCTGGTTCTGTCTGGCCATGCTGGCCACATGCAGGAAGCAGCTTTCTGGTGGTGGTGCTGGCGGGTGGAGGCAGATCTGCTGGTTCTCTCTGCCTGAGCTAGCTGCCCTCACATGTCATTCTTACTAGCTGAATATTCAACAATTTGTAGGTTCTTTCTTTCCGTATGGTTGTGAAGATGTCTAAACCCAATCTGCCTTTAAACAGCATTCTGAGAAACTGAACTTGCACATCTGTGTTACTTACAAATTCACAAATTCCAAAATGTTCAGATATGCTAGGTCCCTGAAATGAGGTCATACCAAACTAAACGAAGCTGTGGAAGCTTCCATGCAGAAATGGTACACGTGTGCATTCTCTCCCGTTCATTCCTGGGTGGCCGTGTGCGGCAACACATATAGTCTGTACATAGAGGAAAATCATTCAGAAAATTGAATTACACTGCTCCCACTTAGTTCTTATTGTGGAAACACACAAGTTACAGGGTGGTTTTTTTTTTTTATCAGTACCGGGGATCAAACTCACGACTGCCTGCTTGCAAGGCAGGCGCTTATGCCGCTGAGCTAAATTCCCAGCCCCGGGGTGTTTTTTTTTTTTAAAACCAGGGCTGCATATAGATCTACATGTAAACCATGACTCAGCAGTACATACTGAAAAATCAGTAATGTTCATCTCAGTCATTGCCAAAGGACATACTCCGAAGTGTTCAGCTATGTTAGATTCTCTTACCTGAACTCGCTCTTTCGTAGAAGCCTCCATGTGAAATGGTAGAATTATTTATTGCTTTCCACTGATTAAAATGGGGCACTGGGTAACAAAACATTTAGTCATTACCAAACTATTGCACGTAGAACAGAAGCATTGTTAACACGGAGCTGCACTTCCCTAATGGAGTCCTAATTTTATCAACAGGCAACAAGTTTCAGGGTGTTTCTTTGCCCCGGGACGATGTAGTCATATATGCACAAACTGCATTTATACAGGCATTCTGAGAAACTGAACATGCAGATCTCAGTGTTTTAGAAATGCGCACCCTCCAAAGTGTTCTGGTATGTTGGAGTTTCTCATCAAAACTTACAATGAAGGCGATGATACTGTGGAAATGGTAATAGTACCTATTTTCCCATTCTTTCCTACATGACAATATGAGGAAACACATTTAGTCAGTCATTGGAAAGCTTTTGCACGTAGAGGAAGATCATTCTGAATATTCACTTACACTGCTCCGTTGATGTTTTTATTCAGAAAACACACAAATTACACAGTGTTACTTGGTACCGGGGCTGCACATGCAGGCATATGCAAACTACCACTCAGCAGTGCATCTGAGGAACGCACTAAAGCTTCCTGATGTTTGGGGTCGCTGGGTGGGGCCCTACCAGGCTGCGAGGCCGCGTGGCTAGGTGGAGTTCACTGTGCAGGTCCTCATCTTGGGCCACTCGGTGCACATTGGCTCCCAGGCTATTGGGAATTGCCAGGCCTAGATTTGTTTCTTCTTTAAATCATGGCCAATTGGAGTTCTCCGTGCCTCACTTATCTGTATGACAAATTCCTTTTCTCTGCCAGGTAAGTTTTCTACCATGATGTCTTTGAACAGCTTTTTTATGTCATTTGTGCTCTCTCCTGCCTTTTAATTGATGCCGATCAATAATGTTACCATCCTTTGCACCATCTGGCAGCTGCTGGATTGATTTCTCATAGTTCCTTGATGTTTTTAGGAAATCTTCCTTTTGATGATCCCTAACCATAATCCTGTCTTTCATATCTGAGATTCTGTCTTTAC